CCCCCCCCCCCCCAATGCTAGTGTAAGGACTTACCTTAAATGATGCCTCTTGATCCGATCATCTTCTTTCCAGTATATTTCAGGAGTCCCTCCAGCGCTGGTGCCGGTCTCTGATCCAGCGCCGACTCCTGTCTCTTTCCCATGTCACAGAGTTTGTGCGGGTGCACGCTGCCTCCATTGACTTACCTTGTGTCTCTCCTCGTCTCCCGGCAGAAGATCTGTACTGCGTATGCGCCCGCCCCATGATCCTTTGCAGCCGCCCGAGATTTTTCAGATCTTTGGACGGGAGCATGCGACGGAGACACGGGTAAGTTTAAACCTTTTTCGTAACTCTTTCAAATATTTTTGCATACATCTACTGCTTGCTAGGGTTTAATATCAATGAATCCAAAATTCAGGCCAGTAGTAACAGTGAATTGAATTGGAGAGGTGCACAGGTGAGGGTTTCATTGTGAATGAAAGGTGGCAGCAGGCACCTTCTTGTATAACCTGCCCTTCAAAGGTTTAAAACAACTGACACACACACACTTTTTTTTATTCTATTGTTTAAAAGGTATTAGAATATTTTCACTACTGTAATAGTATCCGACAGTTACAGTAATAGGCAGGTGCCACCTTCAGGCTGCAGTGTCGTCTTCAGGCTGAAGGTTTATTGTGACCACATGATCATTAACAACTCTAATTGCTTCCCTGATTGTCAGTGGGGAACAGGCAGTCACTAGCAGCCCAAAGTGGCGGCTTTTGGCTTTTAATAGGTGGATGTTTATTAACATATCGCCAGCACAGAGCATTGTGCTGGGCAACATTTATACACAGAGTATGGACAGGAAGGGGTTAAGCAATACCTGTGTTTTAAGGGCATGAAGGACATTTCTTGAGGAACCAGCTCTCTCAACCATCCCCACCTACTTCCTTTAATGAAAAGTATAGATTTGCAAAACAATTATTTTATGTGCAGACCAAATACATACCGGCCAGATGGTCTCATTTGGTGTCCCCAGAAGTTGTATAATAAGATCAATCTGCTGGATTTCTGAAGAACCCGGTAATAAGGGTTTGTGAGCCAGAAGCTCAGCCAGGATACAGCCCACGGCCCTGTATGGAAGAAAGGAAAACAGCTGCATCACCATTACCAAGCACTCTTTTACTGGCCCGTCACAGGCTGGGGTGAGGAAAGGACCTGTAAGTGGAAGTGAACATGCAGCAGAGGAAAATCAGGTCCCCCCCCCAGACTGACCTGTGAGTTTAACTTTAAACCTTGCCTACTAGGTCCAAAACTTTAAAAAAAATCAGAACCTGATTTTTGGACAATTTCCCTGTTGGGATGTGTCCTGTCGAAGAGCAACAATGATGCAATAGAGGGAGCTCCATTTCCCCATAGTTGACAGACTTCCCCCTCAAATTAAACAAGCTGGGCCAAACACGTGTTCACTTCATGTTCTCATGAAGATACGGAAGTTTGGGGGGGTTCAGGGTCTTACCACATATCAATGGCAGTTGTTTGTGTCATACTTCCAAACAGCAGCTCAGGCGCTCTATACCTGAAATCAGAGAAGCAGACACAGGAACATGAGGTGGGGCCTGTAATTACCCAACGGTTCTAGAACATAACCTGAAAAAAAAACATACAGAGGAAGCAAAACCCCCCCACAATTCCTAAATTAATGAACGATCTGCTTCCCCTCCAGCGGCCAATCTACATATATCTATGTAATGCTTGCTTGCTTGTTACAACATGTTTTTGGTGCTTGCTCCTTCAAAAATATGGTGGAACACACTACATGTATAAATTAGGACGTCACCTCAAAAGTTCCTTTTAAAACTCACTTCTGGCAAAATGCCCCCCAGTTCCCCCCTCCATCCCACTTACAAGCCATTAAAAACCCTTCCTAATCCCACAGTCAGATGACCCTCACCGAGTGAAGACCCTTCTTGATCCACTGATGCAGTCAGGAGTGGCCTTGTTACCCCTCATTGTGATGTCCTTGTATGGCCACTGGAATCTTTAGGATTTTGGAGGACATGGCCAATGGACAACAATTGGTAATGGCCCATGTCACCATGCAGCAACGTGGGCACCTGAAGAAAGACCCTCCCACTCTGATGTCCAGAAAAAAGAAGACTTGGGACCCGTTCTGTCATGTGACCACAGATTTGGGTAAGAATTTGTGTAATTTAGCTTTTTTTAAACTATTGGGGGATTAGCTAGAGGTGGTGGTTGGGGGGGGGGGTGAGAGTGTAATGTTTAGTGGATCCCGGACTAGAGATGAGATACTATACTGCAATACCCAAGCCCAAAGGTATGCACTCCCTGAACATATGCAATGCTTTCCTTTAAACTATCACATTTAATTTCTTATATACACCTGACAAGATTTTCTGCTTGACATTACAACAGACTTCCAGTTATCTCTTCACAGGCTGCTGCTTACCAGAGTGTCACAACTTTGGGAGTCATCTGCTTTGCAGGAACACTGAAGGCACGAGCAAGTCCAAAATCAGCTGTTAGAACAAACAATACATACAATCAATTCCTTCAGCCAGATAAAGCAAACAGGAAATGATTAAGCAACAAAGAAAAAAAAAAACAATATAACTTCCTCATATAGGGAATAGAAGTCATGACTTACCAATCTTTACACATCCTTTATCTGTCATCAGTAGATTGGACACCTTGAGATCTCTGTTAGGGGGAAATGTAGAAATCAATGAATGAAATAGGATTGTAAATGGTCTGCTTGTCCTAGATTGAGATTTAAGTTATGTGTGGATGCTGGAAAGTTAAAGCACCCGACAGTTTCTTAGATCCATCGGAGGCTCTATTGGCGTCACATTTGATTTTGTACATTGCATGCTGTTATTAAGACTGTAATCCTTTAGAACGTTGGTCCTCAACTGACTTGTCGTGACCCAAAACTGGGTCACGACCCCGTAATCAGTGGGCCACCACATGCCTTCCACTTTTTCAGCCTCCCCATAGCACAGCATTGTCAGTTCTTACACCAAGCAGCCATTCAAAATATGCTGCCCGGTGCCAAATGTCAGCTTGAGGTGGGGTGGGCTGGGGGTATGGTCACGAGGGAGCTCCATACATACATACATTGCTTACAGCTCCCTCACTTGTCCTGTAGAGGTGCCTGGACCAGAGTGACGTCACATTCTGGCTCCTGACACCTCTACAGGGCACATATGGAGCTCCGTCACAGCACAGCAGCCCACGCTGGACCCAAGGCTGAGGATCCACTCCAGTTCTTATAAGATAGAAAAACTGGATGGATCTTAAAAAAAAGAACAAAAATAAACATTTTTTGAGAATGTCCGAGTGTGTGAGATTGTGTCTGTGTGTCCTGTGCGACTAACATACCTTAACATGCAATCGGACCTACCACGCATTCTGGTGTGGGAGGTGTGTTGCATTGCTATTCATTTGACTGGCACCCCGAACGCACCTCTTACCCACAGTTCTATCGCCTTCACCGGAAATCACAGTACCCCAATGCCATGCGTTCCAGTGCGGAGCGTCTTGGGTCACGACTTAATGACCAAGGACAAAGGACAAATGTGGGTCCTTAAAGTACCCAGGTTGAGAACCACTGCTTTAGAACACCCAGATCCTCGAATGACTCCCCCAGTTGTACTCCCCAGTGTATGATGTATGTACGTATTTATTTCCCAAGTGCATAACTTTACATTTATCAACAATAAGTAAAATGTACACTTCCCAATACCCACAGCTGGAAGTGTCACATGCCGACTCTATAGACCAAGAGCTGAGCAATCACATAGCTCACGGTCTTCACCTCTCTGTTCCTCCAGAGCTCTTGGAAGGACAGACAGGGGAGAGGGCAGGCACAGATGACTCTGGTCGTCAATCAGGCTGACAATATTGTCGGGATCTGTCCCGGCTGCATTGCGGCTCTGCCCCATCAGCAAATAGTGGGCAGTAGTCCACTATATGCTGATTTTGGGACACGAGGACATAAGTAAATATAATCCTTTGACCCAAAAGAAGACTAAAGACAAAAAAAGGTTTGGCTTTAGTCCTCTTTCAAACCTCATTTGCGACAAAGCTGCCCAATCAAACACTGTATTCAGGTGTGTTTGTAAGATGGAGACCTCTTGTAAGGACTTTATCCCACTACGCAGCTTGGTGTCATCTGCAAACACAGAAATTATACTTTTAATCTTAAACTCTATATCATTTATATAGGTAAAGGGTAACAGACCCAACACTAAACCTTGGGGGACACCACTAAAAACCGTAGACCATTCAGGGTATGAATCACAATCACCACTCTCTGAATACAGTCTTCAAGCCAGCTTTCTATCCAATTATAGACTTCTATATAGAACTCTATCCAAGAATATGAATATTCTAAACCTACAGACCTAAAAACTTACACATCAGCCATCTGCGGGGAACTGTGCCAAACGCTTTAACAAGCCACTCCTTCGTCTAGCTTATTGCTCATAAAAAGAAAGATTTGTCTGACAACCTCGGTCTGACTCCATGGTGGCGATCACATATAAGAGCAAATACTCTTATGTAGTCATTTATCAAACCCTCAAGAATCTTCCCGAGACTTGGCAGTGTCCAGGTATGTAACTGAAATATCAATGTTAGGTGGTTTGCCCCATAGAAGTTAGCTTATTTAAATAAATATGATAAAATAGCTAGAAAGTAGAGTTTCTTTAATGGCAAATGAGTCACGTTAAGTCTCTTCTGCAAAAAAAAGCTCCCCCCCCTTCTGTGTACATCCTCGCTTTTTCCCGGCATACATCTCCACCCATTCCCGTATAACTCCTACATGCATGCACAGTGCAGTACACACCTCCTGCGTGCATGCACAGTGCAGTACACACCTCCACTCATTACCACACAACTCCTGTGTGCATGCACAGTGCAGTACACACCTCCACTCACTACCACACAACTCCTGCGTGCATGCACAGTGCAGTACACACCTCCACTCATCACACAACTCCTGCGTGCATGCACAGTGCAGTACATACCTCCACTCACTACCACACAACTCCTGATTGCATGCACAGTGCAGTACACACCTCCACACAACTCTTGCATGCATGCACAGTGCAGAAAACACCTCCACTCATTACCACACAACTCCTGCGTGCATGCACAGTGCAGAACACACCTCCACTCATTATCACACAACTCCTGCGTGCATGCACAGTGCAGTACACACCTCCACTCATTATCACACAACTCCTGCGTGGATGCATAGTGCAGTACATACCTCCACTCATTACCACACAACTCCTGCAGGCATGCACAGTGCAGTCTACGTCTCCAATTATCCCCGTATAACTCCTGTGTGCATGTACAGTGCATGCGCAGTGCAGCATACATCTCCACTCCTTCCCACATAATTCCTGTGTACAGGATTTTATAACTCCCCACTCTATCTACAACTAAAAAAAAACCCAATGTTTTGGTGTTAGATATACTTTAATATTTTCTCCAAAATGTTCTACCTGTGCACTATAAAGTTCTCATGCAGATACTGAAGACCAGTGAGCAGCTGGAAACAGATACACTTGACCTGTGTATGAGAAAAAGAAAATAAAGTGAATTTCCCAACATCAGTGCATAAAAAACGCTGCAAGTAATATTAATAGTAAAATACCAGAATCCCGAGGATTACTCTTCCCTATCACATATTGTATATAAACTTTTATGAGCCGCTTTGAATGTTCAGACAATGAAAATAAACTTCCTGTTTTGTGTCTTCCCTTTCTTGAGACCTTCGGACATACTGAGACCTGTGCTGACATCACATAACCAGCAGACCACAATCTCTCTGCTGGAATTTTACTGCCCTACTAGTTCGGCATCCTCTGAATCCTCAACTGAATCAGTTACAAATAACACCGTGGCAGTGCAGGAAATCACTTTTAAATAATATGTATATTGTAGTCTGCTATTTTATGCTAAGGCTCTTGAAGTGTCCTGTATTATCACGGCGACACATTTAAAAGGAGAACTATGGGGTTAAGGCTTTTCCCCATAGTTCTCCTTAGGGTAACGGGAGGACACAAACTAGCGTCCTCCTGCCACCCTAAGCTCAGTATACTGAGACTCCGCAGCTGAAGCGGATCCCGACAATTGTGCCGGGATCCGCCCAGCTGCGTGACTGACAGCTGGCTCTGCCCAGAGGCAGAGTCAGCTGTACCCGCCCCCTCCCTCGTCCGTTGCGCCAGTCAGCGCTGGCGGATCGGAGCGGGGAATCCAGGCCCTCCCCTGTCACGGCAGAGAGCCGTGACAGGATCGAGAGGTGAGCGAACGCCGCTATGTGTTCGCTCACGTCCCGATCTACTGAGCCGACCTGTGACAGTCTCATTGTCACAGGTCGGCTAGAACTATGAGGTGAGTGAAAAGCCTCCTTTAACTGTCACGGGGGAAATGTACACCCATGGGATGCTGTGTCCATGTACAAGCTACATATGCGATACTCTGTAAAAGAATAGCAAAAAATTTCACCAGCACACCAATAAGTAATTCAGCAAAAGTCCATTTAATGACACATTGCCATTCAGTTACAAGCGCTTTCGGGGCCTCAAGGGTACACCATCAGGCTCAGAAGGGGTCTGATGAAGCCTGATGAAGGGGTACCCTTGAGGCCCCAAAAGCGCTTGTAACTGAATGGCAATGTGTCATTAAATGGACTTTTGCTGAATTACCTATTGGTGTGCTGGTGACATTTTTTGCTACTCTTGTCGTACACGGTCCCTCAGTGGTCGCTGCGAGCACCCACCTGCTTCTGCAGGTTTACTTTTGTTCCGGTAAGGAGTGCAGCTGGTCATCTATTTCTATTGCACTCTGTAAAAGAAGCCCCATGGCTAACAGCCAAATGTGTACGTTGCTTTTTGGGACATAGCAGTTCCCAGAAATACTTTTACATTCGTAAAACCACAAAAAACATATGAATGGGTACTGAAGATTGTATAAAACTGATGTGATGTGAGAAGTTGGCGCTATACTTTAAAGCAGGGCTATCCAAACTCCAGCCCTGCAGCTGTGGTGAAACTACAAAGCCCATAATGCATCTCTCTCCAGGAGTCATGCCTGTGAGAATCTTGCAATGCCTCCTGGGATTTGTAGTTCCACCACAGCTGGAGTGCCGGAGTTTGGCTACCCCTGCTTTTAAAAGGCACACCATAGCACAGTGCTCTGTACCACATTCTCAATGGCACTCCAATGCACCTCCCAGCGTGTGTTGCAGTACATTGCAGTAACACAACAACATGCACTACCTTCTAACACCACCGGGCAACTGAATGCACGTTATTGCGGTATTGCGCATTGCACTGCTATACACGAGTTGTGTTGGGGTGCCGCTGAGAATGAACGGCAATGCAACACCCCAGTGCACCTAGCATGCACTGTGCAATGATGTGCACTAAACGCACAGATCCTATAGATTTAGTGCAACGCCATGGTGGGAACAGGCCCTAAAGGGTCACTCCACTGAACACTGTTTGAATCACATAGTGCCTTTTAATGTCTCGTAAGGTTGCTATGGCAAGTTCTCTGCACCTCAGTTACTGGTTTGGCCTCCATTTTACCCACTAAAGGAAGATGAGCCTCAATGCACCTATTTCATCATCTGCACAGTGTTTAACAGTGGTGAGGTGCAACGACCTGCGTTAGTGTTCAGACTGTTCCCTGTTGGATCCTAGGCCCAGGGTGTACATGGGGTCTTGACTTTTGTCAAGAAGCTAAAGCCCATCTATCACTGTAGTGCAAGGGTTAAGTGCTCGCTTTTGTCTAGGGGCTGGAGCAAAGCAGATTTACTTACCTGATCCTCACACCTGGTGGTCAGCATTCACCTCTCTCCCCAGGGAAGAAGAGGCTGCAGGGATTGGGTAGCAGCCCAGAGGGGGCCGGCGGGAGTACTTTTTTGTTTGTCTGGAGACGGGCTTTAAGATTAGATCCCATCTCCTCCTGGTGGTAAACATTACCTTCTGCCATTCGAATTGTAAAGGCCATAAAATCTAACAGCTAAATGACAAGGTGGGGCTTAAAACAGAGAAGGGGTGGGGCTTAATCTTGACTTATGCAAGACCCGTGTACAGCTTGGGGTTAAAAGCCAAGGGGGCTGCACATGGGATCAATCTGAAAATGAACACAAGTTCCTGCAGACACCACAAGGGACCTGCAGTACAGCACTACTCCTACCTCAGGAAGGTTTTAGGCCATACCAGGTTCATTTCAATGGAAAATAAAAAATGAACTATGATCGCAGCAGGAAGGTGAAGCTGGAATCCCCAAAAGTATAACAGAAGGTGACCTACCAAAAACTGGGAATTAGACTTTTAACTATAAGATAAACATACGTATAGAGAAGTGCCAATGTGTGACAGTACCTGGGCTTCTGTGAACGGGGTCTGCATGTTCTCTAGGAGGCTGGCCAAGTCCTGTTCGCAGTAACCCATAACCAGGAAAATGCTGCAAAGACACCAATGTAACCGAGTCATATCCAGAAACTAGACACATAGATACCTCATGACTATGCCAACAGCTATATGCAACACGGTCAAAATAAATATAGATTAACTAGGGATGCACCGATACCAGTATCGGTGCCCAGTATTTGGGCGGGTACTCGTACTCGCCCAAATGCTCCGATGCCTAGCCTGATACTTCCGGTATCAGGAACCTGGCTCCATGCTCCCTCGTCACTTGTGAGCCCACCTGTGATCCAAAACAGCCCACCTGAGATTGACCAGGGAGCATGGAGGCGGCTTCCCGGCCAATCAGGAGTCGGGCAGCATGTAATGACTCACTGCCCAGCTTCCTGATTGGTCGGGAAGCTGACCAATCAGGAAGCTGGGCGCTGTCTAATGACATGGCGCCCAGCTTTGATTGGCCGGGAGGCCGGTTTTATGGTCCATCGTCACCTCATGACGAGGGATCATTGGGGCTGGCTTCCCGGTCATTACACAGCCCCCGACTTCCTGATTGGCCAGAAAGACGGCTCCATGCTTTCTCATCACCTAGTGACGAGAAGCATGGGGATGGCTAACCTACTAATCGGGAAGCCGGGTGGCGAGTCTTTAAACGCCGCCTGGCTTCCCGGCTAATCAGGAAGTCAGGTGGCGCATCATTACACGCTGCCTGGCTTCCTGAATGTGTCTGCCGGTACTCGGCGAGTACCGGAAAAAAAATATCGGTACTCGATACCGAAATTGGTGCATCCCTAATATTAACCATTTCTAAAGCATATGTAATGCTGTACATTTTCCACTGTGCAGACCGACAGGAGACACACAGAAATCCAGATTAGGCAATTAAGCTTCCAATGTCACCTCTCTAAACCCCCCCCCAATAGTCACAGCTGAGCACTTTGTGTGTGTGTGTATATATATATGTATACACACACACACTTTATTACAAAGACCTTCCTACCTGTTGGGGATCTGCTGTCAATAAATAGGGACTACATGCCCCTACTGGAGGGAATGAGAACCTATAGCACAGGGGTAGCCAAATATTATTATTCCTCCAACTGTTGTGGAACTACAAGGCCCATTAACCCCATGAAGTCTTGCAAAACTGACAGCTGGAGGCATGAACTCCACAGACATATGCATGTTGGGATTTGTAGTTTCACCACAGCTGGAGGACAGACGTTTGGCTACCCCTTTTGTAGTAGAGGGCTCATGCACAGAAACAACCAGAGGCAGCTGTATGATGCAAGTGGAGAAAGCATGCTGGTAAAGGTGATACAGAATTATTCAACATGGATCTGAAATCTAGACCCTGGGTGTCTATTCATGTGTGCAGGACATAAATCATATATAGCTGCATGCAAGGAAATTCTGCTTAGCCCCAACCTTTACCCCCTCCCCGCCAGACATCACTGAACGGTCCTACAGAACTCCATAGGCCCAGCTCTATTTCATGGTAAAATCATCTTTAAAGAGTCATTTTTAATAAAATGGAAATGTTCATGGCGTGCACCAAACCTGAAGACTGGCCCATCTGACAGGGACAGGTCCTCTTACCTCTCTAGGTGATTGCCCACCACCACTTCCTTCAGCTCCACTATGTTGGAATGCCGCAGCTTCAAAAGAAGTGTGATTTCCCGCAGGCTGCTGATGGGGATTCCTGAGTGATGAAGAGGAGAGATCATCAGCAATGACGTTATTGGGAGAGATCACTGTCTGGCTGGCTGCGGTAATAGATAACATGTATGTTTAAAGAGACCCTGTCATAAAAAAAAAACAAAAAAAAAACCCTGCAACAGCGTCTAAGATCCTCCTTGTATAGCCAAATGGCAGGCAGGCAAAGCTCTAACACTTAAAGGGTAAGTCCACTTTCTCACAAAATGTGAGAACATGAACTTACCCACACGCACCATCACCTCTCCTAGTCCCCACTGTTCATATGTTTCCTTTGCAAGCTCTAGCCCCCCCGCCAGCTGGTTACTAACTAATCGATTTTGAAAATAATCGTTAGCTGCAGCTCTACTGCAGACCCACAGTTAGTATTAGGGATAATACCCACAAATGGCGAGCGCTGATTGGTCAGCACAGTACACATGACCATGTTAACCAATGAGAAGAGCTTCTTACTTCCGGGACCTGGTCCCCAGCTCAGAAGCGCTAACTGCGGGGTTGCAGTGCCGTGTACGGACCATACACCAGATGACCTATTGGGCTTTAGATTTATTTCACAGTTATGTCAGCCGTACAGCCATCCGTGTCCTGAATGAGCCAAACTCACCATCCTTCTCCTTATCCATCCTCACTTTCTTCAATGCCACAATCTCATTGTTGCTGGTGTCTCTGGCACGATCTAGAAGAAGACGGCAGACAATGAGAGATCACAACAGAAGAAAAGGTTCCAATAATAATTGAAAAAAAAACAACACAATCTCCAAAACGGGGGCATACTAGCAGGCATGGCTGGATCACAAGACCGACCAAACAGAACACCTTTGGAATTAATATCAGTTCCCATATCTGTATTTTAACTGTGTACTTAACTGCTTTCCAGACCACTGACAGACACAAAACAGCCTTCAGGTCACTTGTGTAATCATTCAAAATTCATCAGGTGCTTGTTCACAGTCCAGCTAGTAGAATTACCAGATATCTGTCTTTAGATTACCTTACGTTGCTGCTTACCAGCAAGTACTAGTTCTGAAGGACAACATTAAAGTACAGGCAAAGCAACAGGTTCACGTTAAAGTGTCTGTCAAGCCAACTGCTATATAGGGCTCTGTTAGAGAGACTTTTCTTCACTTCCCGCCCTGATGACAACGGCATTCCCTCACTTCCTGCCCTGATGACAATGGCATTCCCTCACTTCCCGCCCTGATGACAATGGCATTCCCTCACTTCCCGCCCTGATGACAATGGCATTCCCTCACTTCCCGCCCTGATGACAATGGCATTCCTTCACTTCCCGCCCTGATGACAACGGCATTCCCTCACTTCCTGCCCTGATGACAATGGCATTCCCTCACTTCCCGCCCTGATGACAATGGCATTCCCTCACTTCCCGCCCTGATGACAACGGCATTCCCTCACTTCCCGCCCTGATGACAACGGCATTCCCTCACTTCCTGCCCTGGTGACGTCTTTCACTTACTTCCTGCCCTGGTGACGTCTTTCCCTTACTTCCCGCCCTGATGACGTCTTTCCCTTACTTCCCGCCCTGATGACAACGGCTTTCCTTCACTTCCTGCCCTGCTGACAACGGCTTTCCTTCACTTCCTGCCCTGCTGACAACGGCTTTCCCTCACTTCCTGCCCTGATGACAACATCTTTTCCTCCCATCCTGCCCTGATGACAACGCTTTCCCTTACTTCCTGCCCTGATGACAACGTTGTTCCCTCCCTTCCAGTCCTGGTGACAATGACTTTCCCTCTCTTCCCGTCCTGATGAGAACAGCTTTTCCTCACTTCCTGCCCTGATGACAATGGCTTCCCCTCACTTCCTGCCCTGATGACAATGGCTTCCCCTCACTTCCCATCCTGATGACAACGCCTTTCCCTCTCTTCCCGTCCTGATGACAACGACTTTCCCTCTCTTCCCGTCCTGATGACAACGTCTTTTCCTCCCTTCCAGTCCTGGTGACAATGACTTTCCCTCTCTTCCCATCCTGATGACAACGGCTTTTCCTCACTTCCTGCCCTGATGACAATGGCTTCCCCTCACTTCCAGTCCTGGTGACAAAAGGCTAATGTGACGGGAAAGTTAGGGAAAATCTGCAACAGGGACCCAGACTGAAATAAAAATCTGACAAGGGTCCTAGCCATTTGCTTCTCTACTAAAGAAAAGGATTATTGTTTCTGTATTTGTTGCTGTTGGAGAGTTCTCCTCACAGTAATTCTGATGAAACGGCTGTCAGCAGGACAGGAAGTGAGGGGAAATCTCTCTAATGGAGCAGTAATCCCCCACTCCATCCAAAACTAAGAAAAATATTTCCCCTGGACTTTTGTCTATGTCCTCGTTACAGGTTTTCTCTCAGCAACTGCAACCGTTCTGTCCCCACATACTTACACACAATACCGTAAGTCCCTTCCCCAATTCGATTTAACTTCTCAAACTCTTTTACACTTCGACATCGGCCAAGCTGTAAAGACAAAAAAATATATACATAAATGTTGGTATATCATGAGTAACAGATGAGCCAGCCCGGCGCCAATGGTCTACTATGAGACCAGATACACAGTAACAGATAGAGCCACCTCTGTGCCAATGGTCTACCATGAGACTTGACCTCTGTGCCAATGGTCCACCATGAGACCAGATACACAGTGATAGATACATCCACCCCTGTGCCTATGGTCCACCATGAGACCAGATACATAGTGATAGATACATCCACCCCTGTGCCTACGGTCCAACATGAGACCAGATACATAGTGATAGATACATCCACCCCTGTGCCTATGGTCCACCATGAGACCAGATACATAGTGATAGATACATCTACCCCTGTGCCTATGGTCCACCATGAGACCAGATACATAGTGATAGATACATCCACCCCTGTGCCTACGGTCCACTATGAGACCAGATACATAGTAGCAGATACAAGCACATCTGCGACAATAGTCCACCATGAAAGCAGATACAGAGGTGGCTGTATCTGCTTTCATGGTGGACCATTGGCACAGAGGTCTCATGGTGGACCATTGGCACAGAGGTGGCTCTGTCACTCTGGTCTCATGGTGGACGATTGGTGCAGAAGTGGCTCTATCTGTTACTATGTACCATTGGTCCACCATGAGACTAGATACATGGTAATAAATACAGACACCCAATGTCTGGTGACCCCACAGTCATACAATGGTGTGCAATGAGTGCACGCGTACGGTGAGGGCACGCCTCCGGTGCGGTGTAGCGCAACCGGTGGGGGCCATTATCATAGAGGCAGGAGATGATGTTTCTATTGCACAATGGTAAATACACAGTTGCATAGCCCGTCTTATCAGAATGAATATGATGTGACTGTACTATTTCCGAGGACAACATCCATCATGGGACTGTCTCTGGAGATCAGGGACCAGTGGAGACTTTGCACACAGAGGAGGAACCGGAAGATTGAAATATGCAACTATCACAGCTAGAAAAGTTAATTGTGTTCTCATCCCCCCTCCCCCATGCCGCTGAGTGCAGAGCTCTGCAGGGTAACCTGATCACAGCCCAGCCGGACGTACCCTGTCCCTCTCCGGAACCGGGATGAACCTCTCCTCCCGGGCACTCTTCAGGCGGATCTGCGCCAATTCCGGGTCGGGCTCCGGTGCGTTTTCAGTCATTGTGTGGAGCTCAGCACACGCCGTTCACTGTGCAGGCCTGGGAGCTCAGAGCGAGTCACAGCGCCCTCTAGTTCCCCTATACAGTATACAGAATGGCCGCAGCCAGTACTGCACAGCACTGTACATGAGTCTGTAGCACAGTATGAGGTGACCGGTCGTCATTAGGAATTGAACACATGGCACCACACGTGCATTTTGTTGAGGTGTGAACTGGATTTAAAGGAGAACTCCACAGAAGTTACACTGTCTGCGGAGAGATGTCTGTCTTCGTTGCAGGTTCTGGCCCCAGCAATGCTGTTCAGGCAACCAAACCCATAGAAGTCTGAGGGATGGACTGGTTGGGTTCATACGAGGCAGGGAGGCTGACTGCAACCGCCCTCCTGAAAATGCTATTCACTTGCCCATGTCAATTGTCAAACCCTCAGACAAGCTCCTAATCAGCACCACCTAACCTGCCCAGGTACAGGCAGGCACTCATGTGACCCAGAGATATGATCATGTGATCGCTCTGGACACGCCCCTTCAGATTTCACGGGAGCGCGCCCTATGATGTCACTGGGTTCATCCTTTTTAGTGGCCTCCACCAGAGCGCGCCATGCAAACGACCAGGGCGTGGCCTCCACGAGAGCGCGCTATCTAATCGGTCAGGGCCCGCCCCCTTTGGGCAGAGGCCTTCACAAGAGCAGACATGTGACGTCAGGGCCCGCCCCCTTCAGGCAGTGGCCACCGAGAGAGAGTTATATGTGATCAGCTGGGCCCGCCCCCTCAGGCAGTGGCCTCTCGCGAGATTTGGAGCAGGCAGGTGACAGGACCCGGAAGTGTTGTGAGTGTAGAGGAGAGGAAGAGCTCAGGATGGACGGTGAGTGTTGGAGGGGGGAGTTTACTCATTATTCCGGATTACTGTGGTCTTTGTGAGCCGGGGGAAGCCTTTCTGAGCACACCACACCTTTCCTGTGTAGACTAGAGTACCCAGTACTCTAGGGCCGTTAGGACTAGAGGCAGTCCCAGGGCTCAATGCAATCATTGCCTGCCTGGTCATTCTGTGCTGGGGATGCCGCACTTGTGCTGCACACAGAGGCATCTATTTCAAGTATATAAATATATCCAGATCAGAGTGTACCTAAAGGCTCCTGTATGAGGTCCAACGTACCAAATCCAGTTACTGTGTGATAGATGAACCTCATCATGTAAACAAAACACCCCATTTACCTCCCCTGACTGAGCTAAATCCTCCTCCACACACTCCCCCCGCACAGGCACGGCAGCTCACACTTGGAGGGTTTCAGGAGCAAAGGAAGTGATGTCAATCAAGAAAGCAACGGGTGGTACAGGGTGTGGCCAGGTGATGAGCTACAGGCTTATGATTCAAGCTAGATTCACACCAGATGCAGTGTGTTCCGGACCGATTCTGGCCAGAACGCATCGCATTGCAGCCTGCTCACTTTTTTGTAGGGCAGAAGGGGCGTGGCGGGCCATTGAAGTTAAGGGCACCGTAGCCACACCCCCAGGCAGCAATTCGATTGGTCGCACGGGATCACAAGGCACATTGCAATCAAAATGCTGCAAACACTATTTTGATCACACTGGACCGCAGGCACAATGTGTCTTGCGATCCCTTGTGGCCGATTGCATTGCGGCCGGAGGCGTGGTTACGGTGCCATTACTTCAATGGCCCACCAGCCGGGAAGCCGACTTCTCACCGCCGGGAAGCCGACTTTCCAGCCAATCAGGTAGCCAGGAGGCAGGTCATTATTCGCCGCCCGGCTTACTGACTGGCTGGGAAGCCGGCTCGATGCTGATTGGCCGGGAAACCGGCTTCCCAGCCAATCACAATCGAGCCGGCCAAACAACATGGCGCTGGCTTCCCGGCCAATCAGGTAGCTGGGAGGCAGGTCATTACTTGCCGCCCGGCTTGCTAATTGGCTAGGAAACCAGCTACATGCTGATTGACCAGGAAGCCGGTTTCCCGACCAATCACAAGCGAGCCGGCCAAACAACACGGAGCTGGCTTCCCGGACAATCAGGAAGCTAGGCGACATGTCATTACCCGCCACCCGGCTTCCTGATTGCCCAGGAAGCCGGCTCCATGCCAGCGGTAGTATCAGCACTCGGTGAGTACCGAAAGCAAAGTATCGGTTTTACATTTTTAAATTGTTACCATAGATTCATTGTAACCCTTGATACTATTCATCCCAGCTTTTAGATTAAAATATCTAGCAGGGAATTAAAGTAGACCTAAAGCCAACACGTTTTGTTTAGCTAGTTAGAGTAAGGGACCCATTATGGAGATTTCCCTTCTCTTCCTGTCCAGTAGCCACAATAGGAAGTGAGAGGAAATCCCTCCAAAGAGAGGAAAATCTCTGGTGGTCAGCGTAGTATAATATATAAAGCAGAATGTCCGGACACCTGCACATGCAAAGCCAAATCCCATCTATGATTAAAGTGACACGAAACTCAGGAGTTACACCTTAAAAATACATCCAAGTACCTCAACTAATAACAAAAATGTATCTAATTGGTGTATCACTCGGCAGTAGATCCTCAAATCATCGTGAATTGGTGCTGACACTGTCCTTCCTTCCGGAAGGTGGCTACTTCTGTTCCTCATGGTCCCTGTGTGTTGTAAAGTAGTCACCGCTCCAAGCTCGCTCCTGTGATGGACTACAATCTCATTTTTAGTTTACTAATTTGCATTGAAGCTCTAGTCCAGGCGTAGGCAAACTCCAGCCCTCCAGCGGTCATGAAGCTACAAATCCCATGAGGCAGTGCAAGACTCTTGACAGCCACATGTATGATTTAAAGAGGTGGATGCATGATGAGATTTGAAGGTTGTAGTTTACCTACCCCTGCTCTAGTGCTTATAGATTTGTCCGTTCACGTGGGTTACACATTTTGGGGCACCTGTTTTGCTGTAGAGTGTCGCCAAGTTTAACATCACTTCCGGTTTGAAGGGTAAAAGATTAGAGTCCAGCACTTCCCATCTACTTCTTCTGGGACTCAGAGGGAACGGTCATTCAGA